AAGCTTTCTTACCTCTTGGTAACTCAGCAAGTTGCCATGTCTGATTGATCATTAGAGAATTCATTTCATCTTTCATGGCTAACTCCCACTTAACATAGTCTTCCAATTTAACCGTCTTTTCATAACATTCAGGTTCACCTCTGTTAGTCAGTAAAATGTAATTCAATGTAGGGGAATACCTCTATGGTGGTCTCATTGTTCTACTAGATCTTCTAACTGTTGGTGGTGGTGTTCTCTGAACCTGATCAGTTTCCACAACTGGTTCATCAGATTCCACAACCTGTTCATCAAATCCCACAACTGTTTCTTCAGGAGTAATTGTATTATGATCTCCAATCTCTGTTGTTTTAGTCTCAACCTCAGGAGGATTTATATACTGAGTCTTCTCTGTGCTTCCATCTAACTATGTCTTTCCTGAATCAACTTTATTTTTGTCTTTGTATAAAACTTTCTCATTGAAGATCACGTTCTTGCTTCTGATAATCTTCTTTGTTTTGGTCATCGCAAAATCTGTAACCTATCTCAGCTCCACCATACCCAATAAAGAAACATTTCTTGGATTTGGTATCCAATTTACTCTTGTCTGCAGCATCAATGTGAAGGTAAGATACACAGCCAAAACCCTTTAGATGGGAAAGGTTTACCTGTTTACCAGTCCAAACTTCTTCAGGCAATTTGAAGTCTAGTGATGTGGTCGGGCTTCTATTGATCAGATAGGTCGCACAATTGATTGCCTCTGCCCAAAACATCTTATGCAATTCTACATGTATTCTCATGCTCCTAGCACGCTCATTCAGCATCCTATTCATTCTCTCCGCCACACTATTATGCTATGGTGTCCCTAAAAGAGTCTTTACCATTACAATTCCACTGTCTTCACAATATTTATTGAATTCCCGACTAACATACTCACCATCATTATCTGACGTCAAGCTTTTGATTTTTAGGCCTGTATCATTCTCTACCATAACCTTCCATGTTTTGAAAACAGAAAACACATCAGACTTATGTTTAATAAAATAAGTCCATACCTTCCTGCTTGAGTCGTCTGTGAAAGTTACATAGTATCTGGAACCTCCAATGGAAGAAACTTCAAAAGACCCCCACATATCGGTGTGAACCAACTCTAATTTTGTAGACTTTGGAGTTGAACCTGTCTTTGAGAAAGTGACACGACTTTGTTTCCCAAATATGCATCATTTGCATAACTTGTGATCCACTGCCTTAAGTTCTTCTAGCTTCCCTATAGATTGAAGAATTTTCATACCTTTTTCACTCATATGTCTCAGCCTACTGTGTCATAATTGGGTCTGACTCGAATGATCTACAACAGCTATCATATCTTTGTCGTTGTCATTGACATACAAAGTTTCTAACTTTCTTCCTCGAGCGATCACCAAGGAACCCTTTGTAACTTTCCAGTTTCCTTGACCAAAGGATATTTCACATCCTTCATTATCCAACTGCCCCACGAAAATCAGATTCTTCATCATATTCTGAACATGACGCGAATCTTCCAGACTGAACCGTTCACCATTTTTAAATTAACAACACCAATCCTACTGATGTCCAAAGACTCTCCATCAGCAAGACACACCTTTCCATGATTTCCAGCAACATCATTCTCAAGAATGTCACGTTCCTGTAGTGTGAAAGGACGCACCTGAATCCACCACTCATGTGTTATGAGCGCCTTCAACTACAAGAACTAAAGCATTATGTATTTCTTCAGCAACAACATTTGCACCAGCTTTTTTCCCCTCAGCTTTCTTTGGGGCTTTGCAGTTCCTTCTCAGATGTCCTGTCTTACCACAATTCCAACATTCTAGTCTGCTGTTTCTAGACTTGCTTTTGTTGTTTCTTGACTTTCCACGTGTTCCGTAGTTTCTGTTATTATTTCTTCCTCTGTCCACAATCAATGTTGTACCAAAAGTAGACGCAATACCAAAATCCTTTATGCGAATCTCCTATCCGAGAGCTGCATCTCTGACATCTGCAAACTTCAATTTCTCTTTTCCACAAGAATTTGAAATAGCAGCCTTCATAGGCTCCCAACTGTTAGGTAAGGATCTCAACAACAATATAGCATTTATTCATCTGTAAATGTTAAATCGACAGCAACTAGTTTGTTAACCAATGTATCAAATTCATTTATATGGGCAGCCACAGATCTGCATTTTTCACAACAATTGGTATCAGAGCCCAAGGTTGAAGAACGATGACTTGAGAAGATAAATTGGTCATTTTTTATGGAACTGATTTTTCATACTGGAAGGATCATATAGTAGATTATCTATATTGCAAGGAATTGAAATTGCCATTAGACAAGAAGCCGGATGACATAGAAGAAGCCAAATGGAAAAAGTTGGATAGGAAGGTGTTGGGTACCATTCGACTAACATTAACAAAAAATGTGTAGAGCAGCGTAGCTAAGAAGACTACCACAATGAAGCTGATGAATGCACTGTCCAACATATATGAGAAGCCCTCGGTAAATAATAAGGTGTATCTCGCAACTAAATTTTTTAATTTGGAGATGGATGAAGGTAGCAATGATTTATCTCAGTTTTCCCTCACACAGAAAACGCTCACGAATCACTCTACAAGCCTTTCAAACTCTCGAACGGATACACAAGTATTTAGCTCTCAAACTCTCTCTTCTTGGAGAATTTCTCATGACTCTCTATTTGTGCGCCCCAATCAAATGACTCATCTATCTAGATGGTATGACAAAAACTAAAAGGGGAGACAAGGAAAAATTTAAATGGACATTTTCCGAAAAAGATTTGAATGGTGTGATCCCTAGAATAACATATTTTTAAAAAAAAAAATTTGAAAGCAATTTTAAAAAATGGTCCTAAAAAAAGAGCATAGGTGGTCTACTTACTGATTTGTAGTTTCTTTCTCACTTTTTTGTGTGATTTAATTGTGTTGGTATATATTTGTATTTCATTAAATAAACGTCAAGTGGATTTTACGTATATTTTAAAAATACTAAAATAAACAACTCGTTTTCCTGTGGGGTAGCTACTTTATTGGTCCCTACCATCACAATAATGATGAGAAAAGATAATTTAATTTAATAATATTTATTATCAATCTAATTTAATAATTTAATTCATCACTGAAGTTCTGTATAAAAAGGGGAGGCATTTAGCATTGTTTTTCCTGTGAGTGTATTTTGTAAAGCAATTTAAGAGAGTGTTGAAACCATGTCTCTTGTTGGAAAATTGGTGAGTGAATTAGAAATAAATGCAGCTGCAGAGAAGTTCTACAAAGTCTTCAAAGACCAAGCTTTCCATGTCCCCAACATTTCCCCAAATTTTGTCCAACAAGTTGAAGTTCATGAAGGTGATTGGGACAACCATGGCCATGGCTCGATTAAGACCTGGAAGTACACCGTCGGTATGTATAAACTAACGATAACACCGCTTGTGTTCTCGTTGTTTTAACAAACTATTCTCTTCTTCTAAACAATTGCTCTCTTTATTTTTTGGTACGTGATTTGTTAAGATGGCAAGGCTGAAGTTTTGAAAGAGAAGGTGGAATTCAACGACGAGAAAATGGCAATGACCGTTGTTGGATTGGAAGGAGATGTGTTTGACCATTACAAAGTCTTCAATGCGACATATCAAGTTGTGTCAAAGGGTCCCCAGCATAGTTTAGCCGTCCTGACTTTGGAATATGAGAAACTCGATGATGGCTCTCCTTATCCTTACAAGTATCTCGACCTCATGAATGCTATTACCAAGGACATCGAATCTCACCTTAAATGATCAAACTTTTATGTCTCAGCTTCATCGCTCTCTCATTTGGATATGGTTGATTGTGTTTTATTTCGGTATTTTCTTCTTTGTGGCCTTGATTATTATGCAACTCTATTGTCTAATGTTATACTTCTCTATGCTTTTTTGTCGTGTGAAAAGTAAATAATGATTATCCCTATGTAAAAGTGATGAAGCTCAATATTTATGTTTGCTTAAGTGTATAACATATGTTTTATTTGGTTATGATTCCTAGTTTGTGGCTAATTTCTCTACCCTAAGGATATAGTTTCTCATAAGGTCTCGTGTGTATTTTCTTGGTTGAGAAATTACCAATAAAATATTGGCTAAATATATCTTTTAATCTATGGGTTTTTTTAAATATATTTGTCTATTAATTAACATTTTAAAAGTTTTAGTTGAGTGTCCCACATTTTAACATTTTTTCAATTATACAATTTTCATCCATAAATGTTGAATGTGATTGACGATCAATTTATATGACATATAATATTTAGTGAGTCCACTAAAATTTAGATGAGAAATTTAGGCAATTTAGAAGAGAGAAAATTTTCTAATTCATCCTTCAAATTTCTACTATCTTAGCATTTTGTCATGTAAGTTTACCCACGTCAACCAAATTTAATATATCTATTGACAAAAAGTATGTGATTTAAAAAACTTAGAACTGTAGAGGGTTAAAGTTAAAAATTTTTAAACAATAGAGACCAAATTGAAAATGAAATCATAGATACTACGTATATTTAGCCTAAAATATATCACATTTATAACAACCTTTGGAACATGTAAGATAGAAACAAATGTTGGAAATAAAGTGTTCCCTGATGATATATTTTAATTCTTTTTTGTTTTTTGGTTATCATTTTCTTTTTTCAAAAAAAAAAGAGAAATGTGTTTGTTAAAATTTCTTATAGGTCTCTCAACTTTAAAAATATTTAATATGTACTTTGATTTTCAATTTTCTACTGAATAGATTTCTGGCTAACTCGACATTGTTTAAAATTAACGAATGTATTATATATAAAATTGAACTTTGTTTCCAATAGAATCCTAAATTTTAAAATTTTATGTCTAATAGTTTCGTACAATTTTTTTAAATACCTTATAGTACAAAAATTATTAAACACATAAACTGAAAGATCAAAGATATATTAGACACAGAGTTGAAAGTTTAGGATTCCAAAGTTTAAAAGGTGAGTAAACACAAAATTAAAATCTAAGTGGACACTTTTATAAATTCAAAGTTTTAATAAACACAGTTCATAGCCTAAACTTATAAATTAACCTATTAATTTCTCTCTCACCCAATTGCAACTACATTAAATCCTCTTCCACTCATTTCAACAACAATTTGAGGTAAATTCTTCGTAAATATTTTTTTGAACATTTTTTTAGTACAACATGTCGGGGAGAAAATTCGAACTTACAACCTCTGAAGTATATGTCATTTACCACTGAACTATACTCGCTTTGACAAGTGAAAGGTAAATATATATACACATAATTCATCAGCGAATATATTCATCATATTTATATATTAAAAATTTTGTTTATTGAAGACTTTTTTAAAAAGTGATGTCAATAATCTTGGGTTTTTTTAATAAACATGATGTTAGTGTTTTTTTAACCATTAATATAGAGCGAATGGAAAAGAATGCTAACATGAATATTGATAGACTTATCGTTCTAAATTAGATGCCCAACCTAGATGTCAAAATATAGGATGTCTAAATAACCCTAACCTCGTGTGTCAATTTCTTTCATTTGCTTAGTGTCTCCAAGTGTCAAGTTAACCCATATCTATGTGCTTAATTTTCAATATCTCAAGTGTCTATTTTCTATCTACTATTAGTGTCCAAATGTAACACCTCACGGTTGTATAAATTGCCTATAGATAGTGGCAATTCATGGATAATGGTAGAGAGAATTGGAGTGGATTTTGGTGGAAAACTTTGTTGAATTTCCAAGAGAAATTGGAGAAAAATTGAAGAGAAATTGTTTTCTAAAATTATGTTTTCATTTTCAATTTCAAATTCCATTTATATTTCAATTTTATATTTTGTTTAAATCTCATATTTCCTCATTGTTCGTGACTCATGCTGCCTCATTTTGCTCCATAATTTTACCAGAAGACTAAATAATTAATGTTTATTAAAAGCATGTTTATTTAGAGTTGCAGAGCAATAATAATGTTTTTAAATCTCTTAACATTTTTTTTTTTAATTTTAACTTACATAGGCATGTTTATTTGAGTAATTGAATACTGATTGAATTATCGATAGTAATAAAACAAAACACATAAATAAAAATCATCCAAAACATAATGTTTAAGTTAATCTTTATTAATTCTAAGGTGGACATAGCTCAAGGGTAGTTAACATATACATCCAACTAAGAGGTTGTGAGTTCGATTCTCTTAAATAAAATATATCTTTAAAGCTTGTGAGTTTAAACAATGTTTAGAGAAATGAAAATATAAAAATATATTGAAACTAATAATTAGGTGTATTCATAGAAATGTCATTACCAAATAAACATCTCTATCTCTAGGTTCTTTATTTGACCTTTAAAATTTATGATATTTTATTTTTCACTTTTAATGATTTAAATAATTTTTTTAAAAAGTTAGTAATTTTAATACATTTACAAGATTAACAATGAAAAGAAGGTGAAATGTATGAATATACTTTTTTTTTTCAATTTACTCTTAAATTAATTCTAAAAATTATAATTTTTCTTTAATTATAATGAGTGGAATTTAGAAAGTTATTGTGTTTTAATAGTTAAATAATATTTAAAGAAATAAAAGTATTAAGAATATAGTGAAACTAATTTGATGCATTCACAAAATTAAAATGACAAAATGTGAAAATTTTGAAAGAAAGCTTTGTCAATTTATTTTTAAAAACCTTTGCAAAAATAAATACTTATTTTTAGAAAATAATTTTAAAATTGATGACGTTATTTTGTTATTATTAATAATTAAAATTTTAAAATTTTTTGTAATCTCCCTCAACTTTTACAACTATGTCAAGAGATTCTCATATATTTTTTTATACACAAAACTTTTGCATGGACCTCTTAAGCATAATATAATTAGTTTTTTTTATTTGAATTGCAAAGTAGTGTTGTCTAGTAATTATATAGTATTGTATTTTTTAATAAATAATTATTAACAATAATAATAAATAACAACTACTCACTTGGACTAAAAAACTAAATAAATTATAACGTACAAGTCACGTACTAAGATACTAGTTATTTGATAAGTTGGGATTAATAAAACGTAACAATATAATACTATATTCAAGAAACTATTTTTAAACAAAATTATAAAAATAAATATCAATATCAAATAGTCTAAAACCATCATTACATGCTCTTGTAGATAGTAGGATTGGTTCAAATCGCTAATAATAATGATATGGTGCTCTAGAAAAAGGTAATAAGAGTTCATCAATTTTAGTTAAATAATGATTTAAATTTTGTTTTAGCCTCTAATTTTTTTGAAATTTATTCAATTATAGTTAATCAATAATTGTTATATGATATTAAAAAAAAAAAGAAGAAGAACGAAGAACGAAGAAGAAAACCATTATTTCNACAATAATTATTGCAAAATATAAAATAATTTTCCATTTGAAAGTTATTGCCAATAGATTCCTTTTCCATTGAGAAAAAGAAAATCCAAAACCTAACATTTCATATCGAAATCTTCCGAAGAATAAATTGAGATTTGTGCCTGTCTTATTTGGAAGATGTTAACCCACAATTTAATATTTATTGATTGTTTAAATATATTTTTTTTTAAATTAAATTATACAAAATGTCTAATACGTAATGATTGAAATTTTATTTTTAATGTAATACTTTAGATTATACTTTTAACTGTTTGCTTAAGAATTTTTATCAAATTAAAACTTTAAAGTTAATTTACTTAAAAGGAAACGTTAAAGTTAATTTGAAGTATAACTGTATAAGGGTAAGAAATTAAACTTTTTCAATAAAGTTTTATCAAATTAACATTGTTTTTACTACAATAATAAGTTTTCTTGACAGATAAATGTCTACTCAAATTATCATATTTACTTCCAAAGAATCGAATCATAACAAAAATGAATTGGAATGAAATCAATGAGAAAGGATTGTTCTTTGATATTGTATACCTAATTGGAATTAAAATGAAAAACTTATAAATATTGTTTACTAAAACAGTCTCCAAAGTAGGAGTTAGATATATAATATTATATACTTCATTTTATTTCTAGCTAACTACCAATTCACGTGCTAATATTATTTTAAATTAAAATAATAAAAATTTTAAATTTATTTTATTACTATTTTTTTTGGTAGTAAACCTTTTTTATTTTAACAATTTATTAAATATTAACAATAATAAATAATTAAAATAAAATTACGACAACTTGAAAAGATTCATATAATTTTATTCCAACTAACAATCATCATTAATAGAAACTATTATTAAATTTTATTATATTTAATAATAATGAATTCTATTCAAACACTTTTTTTTTATATTACTTAATCATAACAAAGTAAAATTAAACAGAAATTTATAATATTTTATAATAAAATCCCATTATCTAATAACATTTGTATAATCTTTTATTAGATCAATTCCATTAGACACTCACCATCTATTTTCATTGTTCAACTCTTTGACAATATGAAAAAACCAAAAAAACTCTGCCCTCCCTCTCTATCTATCCAAGGGATGGAATGGCAGATTACCTTTGGTGTCCTCTCCAATCAAAAATTGGGGTCTGACAATCGCTAGCCAATATGCTTTTCTCTCATGCCTTTCTTCGTTCATAGTTCGATATTTTGGTGTCCTAGGCATAGAAGAACCACATCAATCCATCTCGAACTTGGTGGTTAAACTCTGCTACGGTGACGATATTGTAGGGGAGGTCCTGCGGAAAAATAGCTCAACACCAGGATGATAAATAGCTTAACACCTCTAATTCTTATTACTTTCAATATTCAATAATATGGAAAAAAATGAAAAATGAAAAGATCGTCTTATTCAAAACCCCAATTATGAAATCCGTTCTCTCCCACTTTTCTCTCTCACTTCACACCTTGGAACGCACCGTTCTTATAGAGAGAGAGACGCTTTCACATCTTCTTAACCCAAAATGGCAAATGGCTGGAAGAGGAAAGGTTCCTTTTTTAGGGGTACCCCCAGGATCAGATCCAGTAGAGATGTGGTG